AATGACCTTTTGATTGGAAAGCTATACAGTGCATTTTTCTATGGCACTATCCCTTGTTATCCCTCAAGATGGGAAATGCAGGAACCATCTGGACAAGAAAAAAAAAATCCATATTTTTCAGTTTTTCCTAGGTGAGCTCTACTTATTCTTAGACCCTGCCTACCCCACTATCTCCTCAGAGTACCTTCAAAGTGACTTCTAAGAGGCAATGCTATGGGGCTAGGCGTGGGCACATCCAAGAACATACTATGACACCCCCCTTCTACCCTCTGTACTCTGGGCTGATATTCTTTCATCCTATCCACTAGCATGCATTAGGCCCATTTACCTGGAGAAATTAATACACCACTGTGTACTATTTATTCACTCAGTCCTATTGCTGCTTTTGCTTCCAAGTTTTTGCATCTTCTTTATTGAAAGCTGAAGCAAGCTAGCAGTAATCCTAGAAGAGCTATACCCTGAGTACTCAGGCGAAGTCTTGTACAGCTGCCTCTTTTGGTTAGTGTTTCTTACTAGTCAAATAACCTTCAGTCTTCCCTGTAACAGCAACTTGGGAGCTACCTCCTCATCTGCTTATGCTTTCACACTCCTCCTCTAGAGACAGCAAGAATTATAACAGCAATCATCTGAGCTCCTGCCCTTTTCCTGAGCCTGGCAATGTCCTCGTGTGAAGGACAGTGTTTCCCCACTTCTCCTCTCATTCTGTGTTCAGTCTTTTCTGTCCTGAGAACCACAGCCTGCCACTGCTGCTAGTAAGCAGTCTGCCAAGGAGGCAAGCAGCCTCTTCCTCATGCCTTTTCCTAATATAGTTAAAAGTCGCAACTTTTGCTGTCTTGTTCTTTTCACAGATCAGCATCCTTCACCATCCTCCCCGTACCATACCCATTCTTTCTACCCAGATAACTCTACTCCCCCCTTCCTCTTTTTCCACGAGCTCTTTTCTTCTTCTGCAGCACTGCAGAACTTTGATTTTGCTCCACTGAATGGTTTCTGCTTCCTCCTGACAGTCATGTTTTTCCTGTGGATCTCAAGCCTTGAATTTTAAAGACACATTCTGTGTTTAGTTTGGGGTAATATTCATATACCACATAAATTTAGATATCTGAAGTTCAGCATCTAGCCTAAGATGGCTGCTTACCTGAGGTCTCCCTCTAGTCGGCAGAGGGAGGAAGGGCCTCCACAGAGCAATCCCTCCCCCTCTAAGATACTTTTCTAGAACAAGTAGGATGAATCACACTGTGAAAGAGCCCATAAGGGGAGCTTGGCTAGATGGGAATACCAAAACTGCTTCAAACTCTAAGTTATCTTCATGGCCTCCTTCCAGCATACTTTCAAATCTGTCTCAGTTCCACTATTATCTTTAGCTTCATCTTCAGTCCTTCAGTCTTCTCTTCCATAAGGATCACCTGGTATTTCAAAAACCAGAGGTTCTGTTGAATATCCCTTCCAGGAAGATATACACCTCAGAGGCTCAAATCTGACCACGTTTGCTGTCCCCTCTTCTGGGAAATCTATAGCACTGCCTCAAGGTAGATGACTCCTACTTATATAGGAGCCATCGTCTTTTCTTTCTAGTCCTTAGACTACAGGAAGGAATGATGAAAGCATTCCAAACTTCCTACACTTGAACTCCTACACTACCTTCCTTATTTCTTCTAGGAGCAGCGTCATGGCAACTAGTACTTCTTATCTTCCCTTTGCAAGCTGATGAATTGGTTTAGAGGCACTCCATTGCCAAGGCCCTTTCTTTGCGTTCCTCTAAAATAAGTTGTGTCGCTATGAAAAGCCTGAAAGGTTTCAGCAAGCGCCGAATAAACTAAGTAGTTCATGTATAAATAATGTATCAGCTATCGCTACATTTTTAATGGATGCATCACACACATATTTTTAGATGGCCTAGGTTAGTCAGAACAACTCCAGCATCTGCTTCTCATTCCCATATCAGCAATCCCGGTTTCACAGTTCTGTGTCCCTCTAAAGCACCTACTTGGATGTGGCCTTTTCAGCACGGTCTCCAGTACAGCTTTGCTGCTGCACCGGAGACCATCCCACTCCACAGGCAGCCTGCTGACCATGGCGGGATGACTTTGGGCAAAAGGTGCTATTTGGTATTCTTAGGTACTTCTGCACCTATCCACCCATCTCTTCTTAAAAAGGTAATGGATTAGAGGTGTCAGCGTAAATCAGATTACATGTTGATCATAGCTTCTACTTGTTCCTACCCCCATGAAACCAGGGACACAACCCAGGTATTAGAGAGAGTAAAAGTCAGTCACTGGCGAGTCAAGCATGACAGCCACCTCCTCGGGGAGCTGTCCCCTGCCTTGCAGGGAAGCATGGTCCCATGGGCTACAACTCTGGAATCAGAGGGATCAGAAACTGGTGTGCACCGGGCCCTTTCATAATCAGCAATCGACCGAACCATCCCCTCCCTTCTCCCCCAAAGGCCTTCACTTGCACAGGTGCTGGCCAGCCCGCGCAAAGCCATCAGCTCTCGCCTCCCCACTTACTCCTCTTTCCGGTGAAGCTCCTCCTCGGACTCGGTGAGGCGTTGCTTCAAGGCTGCGATCATCTCCACTGCCACGTCCACCTGCCTGCTCAGGGCCCGCTCCCGCCGCTGCACCTCCTGCTTCTTCTGGGACAGCTGCACAAAAGCTGCCCGCACCTCCAGCAGCTCTGCCGTCTTCTGGGCCAGCTCTTTGGTAAGCTTGTCGATTCGCTTCTCAATCGTTTTGTCCACGGCCTCTACCATCCTGTTAAACTTTTCTCTGACGTGCGCCTCGAAGGAGGCTTTGGAGTCAGTGGCTTTTTAAACCTGCTCGCTGGAAGAGTCGGGCGACACATAGTTTGCAACGTAGGAGACGGGCCGCTCAGCCGCCACCTCCAGAGCCTGCCCGTGCGCTGCGCTCTCGCAGGACGCATCACAAAAATTCAGGTAGGACCCTTTTTGCTGTACGGCACCGCCGGGGCTCCCCAGGCTGCCCTGGGTGGCAGGCTCCGGCGGGGAGATCAGCTCCGCGTCTTTCAGGGGCGAAAACAGGCTGCTCTTGGTCAAGAGGCTTCTCTCCTCGTAGCTGTGGCTGTACTCCAGGTGC